TCTCATAATAATTAGAATAATATTGATTAAGATCATATGGGAACGTTTCCAGTAAAATCAAGTTATGAGATATAGTAAATCATATGATTCATACCTTGATTTTGCTAAAAATACACCCATATATTTTTGTCTTTTAGTTTTTTTTATATAAAAAATCACGTGATATGACGTCATTTTGATTTTTGTGACTTTTAGACCTTTTAAAGTTAAAATGTTTTGACTATTTTAACTATTTCAGATAGTTAAAATGATTTATTAAGATTTCATATATCGTTATAGTATTATAAGATTTATAAAATATTATAGTGAAATCTTACAAAGGATTATAGCATCGTAAGATTTATAAAATATTACAGTGAATTTTTATGCAGAATTATGAGTTCATAAAGTTACAAAATATTATAGTGAAATTTTATGTAAGGTTATAGGATTATACAAAATTTTATGTAAGATTATGAAATCCAATCATAGATTTAGAATTAGTGATACTATTTAATATAAGCAATGAATATATATATACTTTGTATTTTTTATTGATTTATACTGATATATTTTTTAAAAGGTATCAATTTTAAATATTAAATTGCATATATTTTAATGAAATAACATTAAATTTCTATGTTAAAATTATAATTTAAAATTATATATATATATTAACATTAAATATAATTAAATTTAATAAATAGCATTAAATTTCCAATATAAAAAATATTTAATGAAGCATAAGCTTTAATTAAATTCCTGTAATAAAAAGATATAATTATATGATGATATTTAAAAAAATATTAAGATATTTATAAATATTACATTTAAAAAAAATACTTTATATTTTATATCTGAGTTAAATATCTATTTACTAATAATAAAAATATTTTATTTTAAAATTTTTTTTTAAAAATTCAATTCTAATTTTTTATAAATTAATTGTTATTATTTTATTATTATTGTTATTATTTACTAATTATTAAGTTTTATTTTATCTTTCAGTTATAATTTTTGTTAAATGTATATATATGAGGTTTGCTATTAAATTATTAAATTTCAAGTTCGGAACATATGATTTCTACCCTTGAGAATACAAGTCACGTGATACAACAACGAGGACTTGATATATTCCGGTCGGGTGTGAATGTTTTATCTTTATAAGAGGCCATTAAAATTTTTTATGCGAAATCATGTGAGCTTCTTTATGAAAGTGATAATTTTATTTTGTATTAAGTAGCATGCGTATATACAAATAACAAACAAATAAAAGATAACAATTTCTTTTATTAATTAAATTCAAAATAAATGATCAAATCATTTTTATTTACAAACAAATGTAAATGAAAAACAAAACTTTCACAAATATTTACTAACACCGATTCAACTAAAAAATTTTCATCCACAATCATCTATCTATTCATCCCATCCTTAACATTTTAAGGAACAACGACGCCATTTCACATTTTGTTATCTAAATATATATATTATGAAAGCTAAGTAATAAATACTTGCAAATCATACTATGCAACGCCCTTATGCTTCTTAATTACATATACATATACGCGTATCTGTATATTAATTAATAAGCATCATTATCATCCCCTCTTTTATTTTATTTTTTTAGGGAAATATAATAAAAAGAAAAAAAAGGAAAAAAAAAAAAAAAAAATTACGTATGTCCAATAGGTTGGTTGGTATATGGGAACTTGTCAGTAAATTGAGATTATTTTTTTTTTTGTCCACGAAAACTTCGTGTACGACAATAAAAAACATATTTCTCGACCAAAATTAGATCCACTCTCTTTATATTGACAAGCGTCCATAAAATCATAAATCATGAAACTAAAACATGATTATAAACCACACATTTGACAAAAGTGTCAAAAAAAAAAAAAAAATTCCCCCCTTATTTAATATCATCTCATCACTTCACATCACCCACCATCTTACACTAATGATATTAAAAATATATAATTAGGATGTGAATTACCAAAGAGTAAATCTATCAAAAGTATTATGAAATTCTTTTGATGTTGTTGAGGGTAAAGAATTATCTTTTGGAGTTAATGGGCAGGTGAAAGGAGAATTTTCATTAATTAAACTCTCCATATCATCTGTGATCAAATCAATGATATTACTAAAGTCAACTTCCAATTTTTTTTTATTCAACTCTGTGTTCACGGCTCCAACGGCTGATTGAAAATTCACTTTAGGCCAAGAATAATTATTCTTTTCTTGAAAAGGACGTAAATCAACAATATTAGTCATATTCAATTCTAAATTTTGATAATTGAATAGAGACAGAAGCCAATTATTATATTCCTGCTCACTGATGTAAATTGAATTGTCTAAAATCGACAGAAAATCCCGTTCCATATTCCCTAATAATTCTAGTGGTATCCCTGACATTTCAGACCATGATTTGTTTGAATATGTAGAATCTTCAAGCCATTTATGAGCTAATATCAATCCGACTACGAGCAGGACAAATTCCGGATCATAAGGATATATATCGAAGTCTTTACCGCTTGATAGTATCCTTTGAACATATTTAAGCATTATTATTACCACGGGACCTAAACAATCTGTGGCTTTGATAAGCTATTAGAAGAAATATATATATATATATATATATATTTTTCTTTCTCTGTTAGAATAAATCAATCAAGAATTTTTTTCTTCAACCAAAAAAAAAAAATAAAAAAAAATAAAAAAATTTTACAATTTACCTACCTTATAACCAAATTCTTTAAAATCCTCACAAAGATTTAATTTTTGTGGTACTTTTGGCAACATACGCCAGATAGATTCAGTCGCGAAATTTGCCCAATTTAAATGCATGTCAATGGATTTTTCATGATCAACAGCGACCACCGCTGTTTCAACGTTAACTTCCACTTGTTTTTGACGCGCCGATAATTCTGGATGAAGAAACAAAGAGCAATAATATTGTTCTGGATTTGGAAAGGACAAAGAACCATCAAATAATATTTGAGTGATAGGTCCAAATTTCACCCTTCGATTATCTTTTGCGATCATATATCTAAAATATGGAAAGGTCCACCATTCTGGTGAAGAAGCAGGAGGATTGTGAGATGGAAAGGAACTTTGAGAAACAGCCGGTAATTTCAAAGATGAACTCAAAGTAGGTGAATATTTGAAATTTAAATATGAAGTGAGCATTGAATAAGTTGGAGAAAGAAATTTCAATGTAACCCAGGTATGAGAGGATTGCAATTTCAAAGATGAATTTGAAAAACGCAAGTGTTGTTGGTTAAAGTATCCGTAAAAGTTGGTGATGGGAATATTATTTTTGCATTATTTTCGTAAAGAACATTTGATAAAATTTAAAGCGGGTGATATCGTTATTCAAATTAATCAAAAACTTGAAATAAAAAAGGGAATTTGGAAAGATAAAGGTGAAGAATGAAAAAGAGATTTAACTCTTCATTTAACTTCAAAATATTGAGCCCTCTTGAAAAAACAATAACAAATGGGCAGAAAGAACTTTCACAGATATACCAATAACAAGTATAGTAATGTATGAACTGTGACTAACGCAAAGAGCTGTTGGCCACCGAAGGGGAATATACAAAGTTTTGAACGGAACGTCTAAGAAAACGGTAAAGAACAAAATCCGTTTTGGTGAGGTTAAGAGTATTGTTACCGAAATCGTAAACCTTATATCTTTTTTTTATTGTGCTAGTATGAAAAATGCCTAAATTGGTTAAGTGAATATGTCCGTGTGATTGGTCGTAACAAATCCCATTGTACGAAATCTTCCATCAAAAAAAGGAGAAAAAAAAAAGCACCTATTTACATGTGTAACGTTTCATAAAACGTTCCGAAATCTCTTTTTTTTTTTTATTTAACCCTTTTGTTCTGAACAGTATGTTAAAGTCGGAGATGAATGGAAAAAAATAAATATTCTCTCCAACGGGAATTTTGGCGCAAAATTTTACATTTCATTGTTACGCGACAAAGACCCAAAATAGTTCGCGTAATTCTTTTCATGATCAAAAAAAGAATTTTGAGTTCACACATTCAAAATCTAAATAATTTGATAAAGATGGTTAAAAGGTTGAATGTATGCATATAATACTAACAAATCAATTCTATAGTTATTCCCACGGTTAATACAAAAGCAATGTTCCACCCGGTAAAAATAGTTAATGATTTAAAAATAAAACTTTCCCAAACACGTGTTACTACATATTTTGAAACATAATGAACAAAATATGGATTATTGAAATAACCACCAAAGAGTTCAGTAAACCCTTAATTTTCGTTTATCAAAAAATGGGGTTTTGACGCGTCTTAATTAATATATTGTTATGATTTGACGAATACGTGTATTAATATCCTATAACGTTGACGCATTGACTCTTTTTTTTTTTTTTTTTTTTAAAACTCTGCATCTTTATTTAGTTTACTCTGTAAGGTTGAGGCTATTTATGTGATTTACTACTGGCTGTCAATGTACACCGAACATCCTCCCGGGAATCTTATTTTCAAATAATATAAATAACAATTTCTTGTTATTCTAAAGTCCGTTACACAAAAAATTCATGATTTTGGTTAATCGATCGAAAATTGCTGTTCAAAAAAAATTACAAATACATTGCTTCGACTCGGGTTCGAACCGAGGACATTAAGCGTGTAAAGCTTACGTGATAACCACTACACTATCGAAGCCTTATACTTATTGTGCTCATAAATAAATTTTCCATATCTAAATAAAAAATATAACATTTACATTTTTGGCTCATTTTATCGGAAAACCCCTTGGAAGAATAAACCATATATAGAAACATTGTTTGGTAATCTTATCGAATAATGTTATTATTAAAAGATCGCAAAATTTACAGTTTATTTTGTAACATGTGAAATTATGAAATTCGAATATCGTAAACTTTACTGAGAGCATAATAATGACGAAAAAGGTTATTTTAGCAAAAAAAACAAAAGCTTTTAAAAAAGTGTCATGTTCTTAATCATCGAAAAATAATGAAATAATGAAAAATCCAATCTTAACTCGAGCAATACAAAAACTTATTGACTCAAATTCACTTCTTACTACTATCGAATCATGCACTGGAGGTCTTATTGCTCATCTTATTACTGACGTTCCTGGAACAAGCAGTGTCTTTTGGGGTGGAAGAGTCGTTTATAACAATTCTACTAAAATAGCTCTAGGCGTTTCGCCTGAATTACTCCAAACCTTTGGTGCTGTTTCTCGGGAAGTTGCTCTTTCACTAGCTAAAAATGGACTTCTTGAAATGCAAAAATTTTCAAATAATGATAACCGTTTGATTTGTATTGCTACTACCGGTCTCGCTGACCCTAGAGAAGAAAACTATCGAAAACTTGGGGGACTATGTTGGGTTGGGATAGCCTCAACTGCTCATCCTCCATTTGCAGTTCTAGTAGAAGCTTCTCCCCTTTCTAGAGAAAAAACAAAACTTGAATTTGCAATGAAAGCATTGGAACTAATTGTAAAAAGTCTTGAATTTAATGATGTTAATTCTGATAATTTTGAGGTAGCGAAAATTTGAAAGTTATAAGGTTAATGCCAGCATCATGATCCTGCTTGGAACAATTTATAGTAAATTCGATCAAAAAAATAAATAAGTTGTAATTTAACATAAATAAAATCTATAATTGTAATAGTTTATTCAAGTTTTCGCCTGGTGAATTTCACTTATTTTTTTAAATAAACCTTTTTTTTATTCTTCACTTTATAATTATTCATGATAGAAATACATAACATAAAATTTAAATTTTCAAATGAATTTCTTTATTAAGCGGTTGATGTCGATGGTTTCTTTTTCTTCTCCGCTTCTGATTCTTTTTCCTTTTCGATCTCACTAACAATAGCTTCAACTTCTTCAATTTCCAAATTCTTCACGGTTAAGAGAATGGATATTAGAATAAATGTCTCAATAAATCAAATCAACCACCATGGAAAGAATATGTGCTATCATTTACCTTCATACTATCACATGTCATTACTGCAATCTCAATATTTTTGGCACCAGTTTGCACTACCTAAAAACACCAATACATGTTGAATTATTCATGATGTATGAAAGATCGAATTTAAAAAATTGCTTGTAAAAGATTTACCTCCAGAAGAGATTTAACTGCTAATTTGATTGATCCTTCTTTCGATAGTCCCTCCTTATAATTCTTTTCCAAAAATTCACGGACAGTTTTTGAACTTCTACCAATTGCGTTCGCCTGAAAAAGGTTTTAACGCGTAATTTTTTTTTTTAAAAAAAAATCTATGCAAGTAGCAGTTACGAAAGACAGATAAACCCCGAAAAAGCCGACTTGGCTCAAATACCTTCCAAGCAGAGTATATACCCGACGGATCGGTTTGATAAAGCCTTGGCTTTTTGTCATTTACGTCAAATCCAATAACAAGCGTTGAAATTCCAAATGGTCGAACTCCACCACTTTGTGTATATTTCTAAGGCGCGCGGAAGGAAAAAAAAATATATAATATTAGCACATTTATTAAATCAATTTTCGATTTGTCTTAATGTTTTTTTAACTTTGTGCACCTGTTGAATTCCTGCAATGAAGGTCGTAATATATTCTATCGTCACTGGATCATCCAAGGTGAGTCTATGACTTTGACATTCTACTCGAGCTTTATTAACGAGTACCCGAGCGTCTGCACTAAGACCTATCATTTGATTTTGATATCTAAATTAATAATTAAACCAACCAAAAAAAAAATAAAAAAAAAAATAGATAATAATAATCATACCAGCAAAAGCCATACATACGTGGTCATCGAGCATGACAATCTTACGCACGGTTCGAGGGTCTTGTAATTTAAGAACAGACTTCTTCTCAACACCAAGAACTACACAATCCTCCCCAACAACTCCAACCTATATAAATTAGAAATCATGACATGTTATGATAATAAATCGTTGTGAAATTGTTATAATTCTTATTGAATAAGAATTTCACAAGTATAACGCGACGTTGGAAAATCTCCATTACGTACGTAAATGAACCATTATCACGTTGACTACAACTTGATTATTTAGTTCAACAAGTACATACCGCACATGTTCCTTTCCTTACAGCTTCCAAGGCATATTCGACTTGAAATAAATGACCGTCTGGTGAAAAGACGGTCAATGCTATATAGATCGAATTTTAAATTGTCGTGAGTATTAAAATGTCTTTTAACTTCATATTGAACAAGTTCAACACTTAATAAAGCCTACCGCGATCATAAGAGTTGCTACTCATAATGTTTTGAGAGATGCAAAAGTGGTGTGTTGAATATTCGAAATATCAATGTTCCCAAGATGTTTAACTTCCCATTTTGAAAGATCAGATAATTTAGCAGAAAGTACACATCACGTGATTGGTTTACCCAATTAGAATTGTTTTATTTAGATTACGAATTCATCAAGCGAACGTAATTTTTATACGGAATCACGTGAATTCTGCGTCCGAAATTTCATCATCTTATTTTCTTTTCAAAATGAGTAATTTTGATCGAAAGGAACAGACAAATTCGCAAGGAAATTACGAATTTCAAATTGATAATGACACGACTTTATTCATAAAGCAGCAAAATAACACTTTAAATCATGGCACCACAATATGGGATTCTTCCATTATAACTGCACAATACATGCAACAACTTTTACGCTCTTCTGATAATTCATTAAAATCTAAGAGATGCATCGAATTGGGAAGTGGATGTGGTCTATTGGGTTTAATTATGTGTTCCATGGGATTACAAACCACTTTAACGGATCTAGAGACTGTGTTGGTGGATGTTCTCCAAGACAATGTTAAACACAACTTATGGATTTTAAATCAGAATAAGAAAGAGAACAATTCTCTTTATAGTGCGCAAGCAAAAATTTTGGATTGGACTATAACCCAATTAATACCTCCGGAATTTACACCACCTTATGATTATATAGTTGCGACCGATTGTATATATTCTTTAGATCTAATTTCTCATTTTGTTCGATGTTTAAACGAATTAGCTAATGAAAAGACTTTGATCTTTTGTGGTTTGGAAAGAAGGGATCCATTTGTCGTTGAAACTTTTATAAACGCGTGTAAAGGAGGTTTCTACGTGGTCAAAATACCTGAAAAAAAATTGAGAAAAATGATTTATAAAAATGCAAACAATGAAATCACTGTAGAAATTTATCGATTAAAGAAAATGAAAACTATAAATTAAATAAAAAAAGCATTATTATAGAAAATTTTTCTGTTAGAAATGGTCATGCGATAATCCCATCTTAATTTCTCTGCTAAACGATATTGTTATAAGAATAATAATATATATACCAAATGATATTAATTTTTATTTTAAGTTAATATAATATAAACTACCCAAATAAATTACGAATTATTACATTTTGACTAATTAAAATCTACAAATTAATCGTACTTAAATACGAGCATTCACAATAGTAACGAACTCTGGCTTCAAAGATGCACCTCCCACGAGGAATCCATCAACATCAGCTTGTTTTGCTACAAAAGATTAGGAATTACATTAGAAACTTTTTCATGTTAAAAACGAATAAAATTCTATGATTATCTTACCAAGCTCTGCGGCATTAGAAGCATTTACGGAACCTATATATATTAATTGATTACCAAAGATAGATGTTAGAAGAGAGATCAAATCAATCGGGCTTCAATAGAGATTCTTTAATCCATTACCTCCATAAATAACACGCGTGTTTTCCGCTGTAGCTTCTGACGTATTTTCCTTTAACCATTTTCGAATAAAATCATGAACTTCTTGAGCCTACACAAAAAATAGTATTATGATTATAATTAAAATTTCCTTTACGTATTTTATAAAGTAATAATTTCACTTAATGTGAATCAATAAATAATGCGTACTTGTTGAGGAGTTGCTACTCTGCCCGTACCAATTGCCCAAACTGGTTCATATGCAATTACGACATTTGTCCAATCATTAACCACCTTGGCGATTGCCTGAAGTTGTCGAGTTACAACTTCAAATGTTTTACCAGCTTCTCGTTCGTCTAGTTTTTCTCCAATACAAGCGATCACTTTTAGCCCTGACTTTAAGGCAAATGCTACCTTAGAGGCAACAAACTGCGAATCATCAAAATGTTAAATTGTCATTAATAACAGGTCGAATCAAAAAAAAAAAAAAAATTTGAAAAATAAAGAGCTCTTTACGTACATCATCAGATTCTTTAAAAATCTCACGACGCTCCGAATGTCCGAGAATGACCCACTCGATACTTAAGTCCTTTAATTGTTCAGGGCTATCATATTCGTAAAGCAAAGGGTTAGATCAAATTTAATATTACGAGAAAACTTTGAAAGCACGGATACAAAAAAATTCATTGATATACCTGATCTCCCCAGTATAAGCACCACTAGAAGCGTTAAAAGCATTCTGTGCTGCAACACCAATTTCTTTACGAACTTGTTTGCGACACTGATCGAGATACAATGCAGGTGGCGCGATTACCACTTCTACATTTATCAAGGAAAAAAAAATGATATAAGTAATTCCAAGTTTCTTATAATTCTCGATAATCTGAGCAAATAAAAATTCTAACCAACGTTTTCATCTAATTGACCAGCATTTAAATTGTCAATCAGATTTTTAAGAAAGGTTTGTGTGCCATTCATTTTGAAGTTACCTTAAAAAGAAAAGAAAATTAACATAGTGAATTTAAAAGCTAATGAGAAAATGGCAGAAATGAAAGTCATCCGATAGCAGCTTACCACCTACAAAAAATCTACGACCCATGGCTATAAAATTTTATTAAGAAAAAAAATATTTATATAATGATAAATCGCTTGTCAACTAACAAAATGATTTTGGGTAATTTTTTTTTAAAATATAAGTTGGGCTCATTTAAATATATTTCAATCTATAAAATTCTCGGATAACGTGGATAATCCATAAATTTAAAATTATTGGATAATCAGCCAACTGTTCCCTTTTTATCTAATATGCACAAGGATATGATGCAACATACGATAAATAACATACGATCATTACGATAATTACGCAGCAAAATTTATTTCATATGAAAGTGTCATGTGAATTATTAAATATTACGAATCGAAAATCGAAGGTAAAAAACAATTATCAGTTATGGTTTAATTTTTAATTAATTATTAATTTATTATTAAATAAGTTTTCAAATTTATTATTTACTTTTCTTATTTTATTTTAATAATAATATATATAAATAAATAATTTTTTTAATATTTAGTTATTTATAAAATTTTAATCAATTTCCGATCAATGGAGAGTATTGATGTATAATATTACATATGTTACATAATAAAATGTGTATAAATTCGATAATTTAATATATTCATAATGAGAATTTTCACTCAACTTTCCTCAAAATATTTTTCAATAATAAATAAAAGTATAAAACTTTCATCGTTTTTTTTTAATTTTTTCTTAAAGTGTATTTTAATTCCTTGACAACTTTGTATCCAAGGTAAAGTTTTGTCCCAATAAATGTCTTCTTTTGCGTTTCTTGAAATAGATATGTATTATGTAAAAGTAAAAAGAAAGACAGTTATGATGGATTAATTTCCATAAGATTAACGCGTCTTTTTTTGCAACTACTTCATATATACTTTATCAAAAAAACCTTAGTTAAAATCATGAAAATCCGTCATCTCCTTCATGATGAGTTCGATTCTTCTCAGGAAACTTTATCCCCATTTGACTTTCAACAAGTTAGACCATCGTTTCTTATATCTTCCGATAAGCAACAATCAAATGGAATACTTGATCAAGGATCTACTAGCTATGATTTTGGCAAACCCAAAGAGATGGCAGATAACATCATGTCTCCTTCGGCACAAAAGTATAACGCCAATGATATCGAATTTTCTCAATTTTTTAACGAGGTTTCATCTGTAACCAGTCTTGATAATGAAGAAAAAGAAACCATAAAATCCACCTCTTTTCTACCACAATTTCAAACTTCCGTTGAACTTCCTCCCCTGCAATCGTTGTCAAACTTCACCACCGACCTACAATCATCTTTTTGTTCTTCATTTCTTGTTTCCTCCAAAGAAGACATATTACTTAAGGATCCTGAATTGTGGTCTCAATTTTATCGCGTCGATAATGAAATGATTATCACAAAGGCGGGAAGATGTATTTTTCCTTTATTAAAATTTCAACCTGTAAATTTAGATCCAACCGTAAATTATTCTTTTGTGATTGATTTTGTTCAAGTATCAGCAAATCGTTATAGGTTTAAAAAAGGAAGTTGGGTTTGTATAGGCCTGGATAAACGTAGATTTTTATCAAACAACTTTAACAAGCAAGGTGGTAAACTACCCAAAATAGGCTCAGTTTGTGGAAATCCATACACTCATCCGGATTCTCCGCAACCAGGCAAATGAGCTATTTTATTTATGTTTGGGAAATATTTCGTTTATGAATAAATAAGTCACGTGATCATCTTTATTTTATTTTTCTTCTTCAAACCAATTTAGGCTCTTACTGGATGAATTTTGGCTTGAACTTTCCAAAAGTTAAACTTACCAATCGTATGCGTTCAAGTCCATCCAAAGTAAAGAAAAGGAGAAGAAATGACTTGGTTACAAATAACAATTTTTCGCTCCCTGCGGGTCATTTTTGTCTTACCACTTTCCACAAGTATCAACCTCGCGTTAAAATGGTCAAACATTCAGTTCTTGAGGATCAAATAGCATTTTACACTTTTGAAGAAATGACATTTATTGCTGTAACTCATTATCAAAATGAAGCGGTTAATACTTTAAAGAAAAGTAATAATCCTCACGCTAAAGGATTCAAAGAATCTTTTGATAAGGATGTTAATAATTCCGAAGGATCCGAAAATTCAGATGATGAAGATTCCGAAGTGGATCAATACGATGAAAATAATGAAGTTGACCTTGAAGAAATTAGTGATTCGGAAGAAAATGATGAGTTGCATAATAGTTCTTTATCTTATCCAACGACATCATCTTCGAGACAATCTAACCATCTAGGTCAAAACATTCAACAATGGAGACAAACTATTAATAATGAAACAATACCGAGTGACGTGTTTCGTACTAATCGTACAAGTCTATATGAAAATAAAGGAGAATTCCGTGCAAAAGTTGTAAAAAATGCTCATAATATTTTAAGAAAACAAATAATTTATGAACACCCTTCAGAATTAAAACCATCTGATATTGATATATATGAAGCCAGTTCTCAAAGAACCCTTCCCCCAATCTCGAACTCTTCAAGAAATTTTGGTTTGGAAACCTTTTCAAGTTCTGGATATATCAATAAGTCCAACACGAATCCAGATAATGATCCATATTGGATATATTATGGTTCTCAATATAAAACTGAAGATATTACATCAAAAAGGATTTCAAAAGTAAAAGGAACAACTTTAGGCCGGTCCTTTCCTCATCTAGCGTTCAAACCTACAACACCATCTGCCTTGGTTCAAAAAACTCCGTATCCTCGAAAATATGATAATGTAGAAAAAGGTACGCAGCAACAAGAAGAAACTAGGACGCAAAATGCGCATGTTCCCGAATCTCCATTGTCACCTGGAAATATATTCTTTTCAACAATTCTTAACCATACACCATCAAGAGTTGAAAGTTCAACTTCACATTCAAGTATTCAGTTCGAACAAATTAAAGACGAAAACAAAAGATTAAGAGAATATATACGTGAGAGATATGGAGTTGAAGCGGAGAGAGAAGCAGATGTTGTGGTTGCTCTTGGAAATGAATATAAATAATATCAGGTTTGCGATGAATATTTATAACTGAAATTATGTGTGCATTTTGTCACTTGAGTTTTGTCCGATTATATGAATACTTATGTTTAGATACATGTGAAGATGCTTTACATGGTGATTTTTGTTTTTGTTTTTTTTTTTTTTGATAGTAAACTTCTCATTTATGGTATTCGATTGACGTGAGGCCTTAGAACGAATTTATCCTTAATTTTTAGTCATCGTGTTTATTCCATGTACTTGTTATTCTATTGCTTTTTTTTCCTTGAAACTTTCATTTTCATTTTCATTTTTTTTTCGCTTTTCGATTTATTTGCATAATCCATCAATAATCCCCCCTTTTTTTAAAAAAAAATATGTTACTTTATTTTCTGCTTAGCATTATATTTACACTGAAATTTGTTTGCTTTATATTGTAGGAATATATGTAATATTACATAGATATAATCTTATAGTAACAGAATAGTAAGTAATAGAATTCTTTGTAAATTTGAACGTCATAAATGATTCGTCTTAATTTAGAGATCATTTGAGAAAAATAATAGGACTATCAGAGAGGTGCGAAGGTTTCCAATTCTTTAACATTTCAAATCAACTGCACGAGAATTACTTACTTCTTATTATAATTCCAATATAAATATGTTAATTAAAAGTATCCCGAACCGAACCGGAATTTCGGAGTGTCCCGTTTGAAATTTAAGGAGAAAAAACGTTTTTCGAACCTCGAGCCGTTATAATCATCTGAACCGAATTGAATGTGGTTAAATAATAATAATAATAAAGACTTTGTAATTCTTGAAATTTGTGATTGATAAAAGCGTTAATCAAGACAGCAAAATTAAAACTTAGGTCTTGATGGTTAATATATATTCTTAAGTAATTACATTACTTCCAGGTCCTCAATAGAATATTCTCAACGTTTGGACGATATAATGTTTAAATTATTACTTTTTTTTTTAAAAAAAAAAAATAACGAACAAACTTCAATGGATTCAGATTCAATTATTCCTTTCTTTACATGAGATAAACATTTTTACGGCTTTACGGAAAAAAATATTTATATTAAATTCTTTTTCAGTCACGAACCCAAGCATTTTAGTAACCTTGTATCTTTGCGGACAACTTATCAATGCATCCGCCTCTTCTTTTGTTCTCGGTTGCTGTTCTAAGCAAGAACGGGACTTTCCTGAACCAACAATTAGTCGCGTAGGATTTGAACTTGAGAATGTGCAGAAAAAATATTAATAAAATAAAAACGAATAATAACCACTAGCTTCCTGTTTTTATGATTTATAATTTCAAGAGAATAAATATGGTAAAAAAAAAATATTTTTGAAGGGAATGAGCAGATTGAATTGATTACTTGATAAATAGAAAATATGTTAATAAATAATATAATAAAAATTATTAGAATAAATTTAAAAAGAAAAATGTAGATGTTACTAAATAAGCTAAAAAATAAAATAAAAATAAAAAAGTTATGAAATGTAGGAGTTTAACATGTATATTAAATATGCAACATTGATTTCCAATGAAATAAAAAAAAATAATTTAATTATTAGGAAGATTTTGTTAATCTATGTCACCAAGCTTAAAATCGCTCAATTTGTAAACCGAAATGCTTTCACAAAGTTATTCAAATTAATGGAGGCAAATTCTTAAAATATTTTTACACACACGATAGAGAATTAAGTAAATTCATGGCGTTAATAATAATTACAAAATATTGTTTCAATTTTAGAAATTGCCTATTGTGATGATCAGATGATCAAACTCTTGTGGTTTAAAATTAAATCTCGTGTCAAACGGAAGATTGGTTTGAGGTTTCATATTTCCATAGATAAATACTTCGATAATTATAAATATAACTTCGTTTTACCTTTCAGAGTTCGCAGCAAAACAAAAGTTGTTAAAAGAGCAAGCAAAATCAAATCAGACAAGTGCTCGAATATACATATTCTAAATGAACGCTATTATTGTTATCAATGCTAAACCAGTTGTCATTGTTGCCTCTAAAGTAACAGAACGATCCAATCCTACAAATCAATGCTCTATCATGTAGATGATATGTTATTTGTCATAGCAATTTTATAATAATTTTCAATCCACCAATTCCTTGAATTCTATAATTAATCCATCACTTTGATCAATAATTTCTTCTTAATGGGTCTTTGATCCCAACAAATTTTTTCATCAAAACTATAATAACATTGTGGAGTATTTTTCATTTCTTGTCTTTCAGATGACCATATGAATAACATCTTTAGTTGTACCATAAGTAATTCATTCCTCATGATAATAATTGTTGGAATAAGTAATATTTATACAACCCGGACTCAAAGTGGTATAGGAATTTATCGATCACTATTCCGATTAGGAAAATCTTGTTGGAACCGGTATCAATATTTTCTACCCTATCAGAATCATGCGTTATGATAAAAATTATAATAGTTGAAAGAAAAAAATAGAAATGGGGGTCAAAATAGAATTATTTGTTCATTTAAGAATAGAATATATTACGTTTCATTGATTCCTTTTTTAGTTAAAAATTATAAATGGTTTAGCTCACTTGAAGACAACTTTTTTTACAAAGGTATTTTAGTTAGAAATTTTGCTAATTATCTTAGCATAAATCGAGCACCACAAATTTGATACCTTTTCGTTCCCAATACAGAAACGAAAATAAAGAATAATAACAATTATTGCAATGCCTCTCAGGCTTTTCCCCTAGTTCTTGTTCCTCACTCTCTTAGAACATTGGCAAAGCGACAAAGATTTCCGAGATTCCGCTAAACAATCATCGCACTGTATAGCTAAAAATAATATGAAAGGAATAAAAGACAGAAATATAATGCATATCATTGAAATGCAGGACTTCATCGCAAATTAATATGTATCTTTTATTTTTTTTTATTTTTTTTTTATTATTTAGCTAAAATAATGTTTTCTTAATATCATGATTCATCGTCAAGATACTTTTATATCCTCTTTAAATGTTTCATTCTTTGTAACTTCATAAATTATCAATTTTTATTATACACAAACTATAATACACTATTAAATATTTATTTTACAAATTACGCGAAAACACTAATAATTAACGTTGCAACGACTACAACCAAGCTCATTGTAACTCCCCACAAGCTGTGACTATTAAATTCGTGAAATTTTATCGTCGTACTTGACAGTTCGTCATTAACCTCTTGTGCGACTGGTGAGACAATTGTTTTTACCACAATTACAGTGGATGGGGGAATGTATGTTGCGAAGGTTGTAATTTTTCCTAACGAATTAGTTGTTGTAATCGTTGTGGTATAACCGGCATAATATAATGTAACTGTGGTTGTGATTGTTGTATAAGTAGTTATTTTATGTTTCTTATGTACCTTTTCTTTATCTTTGTCATCATTATTTTTATTCTTTTTATTCTCATCTTTATTCTCACCTTTATTCTCACCTTTATTCTGATCTTTATTACCACCATTATTACCATCTTTATTACCACCATTATTCCCATCATTATTCTCATCTTTATTACCACCACTATTCCCATCATTATTCTCATTGTTCTCATCATTATTATCTGGAGTTGGCATTATTGTTTCTATTGATGTTTGCTCGGTTGTCTCAACTATCGGAGTGCTATTAGTGGTAATTGTTTTTAATAAAATAGTAATAAATAATAACATTATTCATTGCATTAAATATACACTTACACTCCTGATGGAGGTTTGCATACAGGATCATCTGGAGAAGCGCAAGTTTGGATTGGTTTTTCTTTATTTTTTGATTCATCAGAATTTTTTTGTGGACATTTTGTTAAATCTCCTTCAACACATTCTGGTTCGGATTCCTTTTTTTGTTCAGGTTCTTGTTCGTTTGGCGGATCTTGGGGAGGATTTTGATCGTTTGGCGGATCTTGGGGAGGAATTTGTTCATTTGGTGGATCTTGTGGAGGCTTTTGATCGTTTGGCGGATCTTGTGGAGGATTTTGATCGTTTGGCGGATCTTGGGGAGGATTTTGATCGTTTGGTGGATCTTGGGGAGGATTTTGATCGTTTGGTGGATCTTGGGGAGGCTTTTGTTCGTTTGGCGGATCTTGGGGAGGATTTTGATCGTTTGGCGGATCTTGGGGAGGCTTTTGATCGTTTGGTGGATCTTGGGGAGGATTTTGATCGTTTGGTGGATCTTGGGGAGGATTTTGATCGTTTGGCGGATCTTGGGGAGGATTTTGATCGTTTGGCGGATCTTGGGGAGGATTTTGATCGTTTGGCGGTTCTTGTGGAGGTTGCGGTTCTTGTGGAGGCTTTTGTTCGTTTGGCGGATCTTTGGGAGGTTCTTGTTCTTTTGGCGGATCTTTGGGAGGTTCTTGTTCTTTTGGCGGATCTTTGGGAGGTTCTTGTTCTTTTGGCGGATCTTTGGGAGGTTCTTGTTCTTTTGGCGGATCTTTGGG